GTCAAGAGGGCTGAAATCGCAGAGGCCTGAAGCTGTGCCAGAGATGAAGACGAGCATATGGCGGGGTTGCTTCCAGCGTTAGAATGTGGTGTGTCGTCATAACGGGTTTCCAGCTGAGTTGCTCTTGAGCCGATATCGAGCACCCGGCGTCCCAAATATGCAGTAATGTCCATCCAGAAATTTTTGTCCATGGGAAAAGAATATTCTAGGCGAAATATCAAAACTCTGGATTTGAGATCGGATCTTTGGGAATGTTTTGTTCACTTGTTTCTTCTATCATTTTCTATTTTTTTAACTCATCATAGGCATATTTAATATTATTATACGTTTTGTGCTATGCAACGGCTGCACAAAACGCATATTGTCACGAGGGTATCTGTGTGTGTTTGTGCACGTATGTGTCTGCGTCCACAGCAAACTGTAGCATCTTTCAACCGGGAAGCAGAAAAGCTAGAAAGCTAGAAATTTAGGGTAACGTCCCCCGCCGACGTGTGACCCAGAAGATATAAATCCTGCCTTCCCTCGCTAGTGGGCAACGGTAACATGCAAGGCCCATTTTGGTGGGTAAAATTATTATCATGGGAACCATGGAATGTAGGAAACTGAAATTTTTGGACAATGACCCCTTGCCCACGTACGACCTTTCGGATTCAAGTTCTGCGTGCCAGCGCACTCGAGGATCACCTATTGCCCCGTGAAAATTTTGGCGGGTAAATTATTGTCACGGGAACCACGAAAATTGGGAACCTTAAATTTTAGGGTACCACGTACGGGCCCTGTGAAATTTATGGCAGGAAAATTATTATCTCGTGAGCTGCAAAAGCTAGAAAGCTGAAATTTTAACTTAGCGTCCCCTGCCCACATACAACTGCAAATTTTCAAAGCCCTATAAAAGTTTTGGGGGAAAAAATCATTACCTCGGTAGCTAAAAGAGTTATAAGACTGACAATTTCTGGAGAACGTTTCCTGCCTAAGCAGGAGCTTCACGAATTTGAATTCTTTTCCTAATTACGCCGAGGTCTCACGCACGAACGCGCTGAAATTTTTGTCCCAAAAATCGTTCGAAAGCCAGAAAATTAGAAGAGCCAGAAAGCCAGAAAATCAAAAAAAAATTCGGAAATTTTGGAGGGATTCCGAGGTTTTGAATTCAGCTTTCACGCACTGATGCGTGGAATTTTTTACCATTTTTAAAATTTCAACTATTTTTGCGCAGACCACAACGCATACTAGTGAAAATCATTAACAGGCGATCGCTCGGTGGGCGAAATTCCATAAAACGCATGATCGCACCGGCAGCACTGGTGCGCACCTGTATTTAATTTAAAAATTATTTTACGTTATATTATCTTCTAGGACGAGAGTGCAGGAGGAATGAGAAGATTAAATTCCTCCCTCATTGTAATTTTCAAACAAAGTGATCTCGAAAGCTTTGTATTGTTCATTTTGCTTTTTCAATGCTTTGAATTCAGAGAAAAAAACTTTTTCTAATTCACACGTTGTGGCTGAAAGTTGAAAACAATTTTTTTTCGGGCGATATGTTAGAAAAACCAAGTACAGATTGAAAAAAGCGAATTGAAAATTAGAAACATGATTCGTGCAAGATTACATTTGTTTTTCACGTTTTGAGCGAATCCAGCTGAAATATGGGAATTGCAAGTTATACATTTAATAAACATGTAGGGAAGCATTCTGTATTTCATCCCTTCGCTGTGAACACAAAT